ACCTTCGGACACATGGGACTTCCCCATTTACCTCCTCTTACAAGGCAGGTCCAGCTATAAGACGGCATTGTAATTTAATGACCCATTGTTTGGCCAGACCTCTTGGTCCCCTGGTTTGCATAGGGGCCATGCAGTACTGCAAAGGAAAATTAACTCCTTTTTCTTTCAACTACCCCGTTTAAGCTTTTTCCGGTTTACTAATACGCACCCTAACGGGCCCCCTTTGGGCGCTTGTAGTTGTCCGCATCTCGGTTAGGCTGTCCTGGTTAAGGGAAGGAGCAAGGGCCAACGGGAGAAGGTGGCTAGAGTCCCAGGGTCCAAGCCCTTTAGAGGGAAGGAGACCTAGGTCCTGAGGCAACCAAGCCGATTACCTTTTGCAAAAGGGGAGACAAAATAGCTCCAAAAGGTAAAAATCCAGGACAAAACGGGAAAGCTGCAGCCACAGTGCTTCCTACACTAGAGATCCTTAGGCCCACCGAGGGAGTGCCCGCCCGCCACTCCCTCTCAGAGGCACTGAAACCTGTGACCCCGCCGAGGGGTCCGATAGATCCGCAAGGGGAGTGCCTGCCCGACAGTCCCGCCTACGGGTGCAACGTGAGCCCCGAGGGCACTCGGGCAGGGCTGGGCTGCAAATGTTTAAAGGGGAACTCCCAGAGTTCCCACAGTTTGGGCCCCTTTCGCAGTTCCAGCATCCCACAACTGGACCAAGACTGTGTAGGGAAAGGGAATTGGGCTCAAGGAACCATGGAGAGGAATCTCGCCAGTTACTTGCCACGTGGTCTTGGTTTGGGTGTCTGAGGGGTCTCCTTGGTGGATCTTCTCAAGTCCAGAGATAGAGCGGTAGAGGGGAGAGTGAGAAAAGACCGAGGAGAACAGCCTTGGGCTCGGGGCTCCTTCGCGGCTGGAGAGCTGCTCTCTGCCAGACCCTGCGGGCAGCGCCACCCAAGGGCTATGTGAATCCGCACAGCGCGGGAGAAGCCCCCCGCCACCCTCCGAAGAGAGGGGAGCCGTAGCCCAATAGGTGGGTCGAGATTACGCCCTTTGAGCCCGTTTCTTTACGTAAATGCCCCGTGTAGGGTGCCAGAGACGTGATGCAGGGAAACGGGTGTGGGGCGTGAGGAGGGCCGGGTCCCAGGCCTCAGCTGAACCCCTGGGACATGCCCCGCCAGGCGTGGGTTCTTGGCTCCGCACAGGAAAGAATTCAGGAGCGAGCCACAGTTGAGTGAAGGTAGATTTATTCAGAGATACATTGAAAGGCAAGAGAAAGGCCACGAGGTGTGGGGGCTGGGTGTTCAGATTAAAAGTAGGTGCACTTTCCACAGACAGAGTGTGTGTGGGGGGGCGGCCGCGAGGCGCCGTGTTGCTGGTTTTTATGGGCTCTGTGGCTCCATATGCTAGTAAGTGGAAGGGCCAGTCCGAGTGGCCTGGGGAAGGGGCCGGGGTTCCCAGGAGGCTGGCCATTTCCCACTCTGACCTTTTGTGGCCAGCCTTGGGACTGCCATGGCGCCTGTGGGTGTGTTATTCACCATATTACAATGAGCGTATAATGGAGCTCAAGGGCTACTAGAAGTCAAACCTAATACCATCCCAATCCTCAAGGCCTACCGGGAGTTCAGTCTCCCACCATTTTGGTGTTAATTGCTGTCATTCCTTGAATGGCTGTGCCCTGTCCCCTTCCTTCCTGTCTCAAAGTGGTTGCCAGGGTCAGACACCCAACCTGACGGAGGCGAGGAGAGAAAGAGGAATTCACTGACCGATGTCTCAAGGAGAGGCGTGCGGGTCAGGATGGCTGTCTGGTCTCAGCTCAGCTTTGCCCTGTCAGCGATGTCCCTCCCCAAGGCTGGTGCCCTGTCTGGTGCCTCCCGCTGGCTGTCCCTTGCCTGGGGCCCTCAGAGGAAGGGCTGCATTGATGATGAGAGGCCCCACCCCCAGGAAGAGTCTCCTGGATGGTCTGGGTCCCACGCCCACCCTGGGCAGCCTGTGTGGGAGGGAGGGGAGAGGGGAGAGTGAGGTGCTGAGAACGGAACACCTTTTCTTCAATGCCTTGGTTCAACGGCGGGTGGGGGCAGCTCTCTAAGAGAGGGGAGGCTGGAGCTGGTCAGCAAGATGTACCTGGCACGAGGCCCTTCCCTGCACGTGGAGGTGGGTCTCTCTGCAAAAGCGCAGTTCCCGTGGCCCCTGATCCCCGGGTGGGAGTGGTGTATCCGACTGGACACCAGGTCTGAGGAGGCCTCTGCAGAGCTGCCGGGAGACACTGACTGCAAGCTTGGGCATGGCCACGGGGCGGTCAGCTGTCTGGGATCAGCTCCTTGGTCCTGGGAGTTGCGAGATGACCGCTTGTGTGAAGGTGGAAGCTGAGAAGCCAGGGACACCAGCAGGGGTGTGAAGCCTGTGGGAAAGTCATGTTACCCCTTCCCATGGCAGGGACGTGTAGTCTGTGCCCCAGCGCACTGGCTTCCTGTTGTTTGGGGCACAACAGAGTATTCCCTTTTACACATGAGGAATCTGAGCAGGGTGGTCCCCGAGACAGTGAGATGTGTTAGAGCTGTGGGTCTTCCCATCAGTAGGCACTTCCTGGCTCTGTCATGAGACCCTTAAGGCTACTTAGTGTTAAAACCCTTACAGAATCCAACATCCATCCATCCATCCATTCACCTGTCCATCCATCCATCCGTCATCTGTCCATCCATCCCTTCATCCATCTGCCCACCCAACCACCCACCCATCTAACATTTATTGAAAGCCTGCCATGTGCTGGGCACAGGGTTAGCACTGCTTATAGCAGGCAAGCAAAGGCGCAGCATAGCATGGCCCTTGGGTAGAGTTGCCAGCTGAGGTGAAGAGAAATACAAGGCATCCTGTTAAATTTGGATTTCAGATAAACAGGGAATACTGTTTCAGTGTAAGTGTGCCCTATGCAGCATTTCGGGCAGGTGTGCTCCAAGTGCGGCATGGGGCGTCGCTATACTGAAGCTCATTTGCTGCTTATCTGAAATTCAGGTCTAACCGGACTTTCTGTATTTTGTCTGGCAGTCCCACCCGCGGTGCTCACTGCGGCTGGTAAAATGATGCAGGTGGCAGGGGCGCTGGCATGCCCAGTGGGCGGGCTCTGGGGGCACCCAGGGCCGGGCAGCTCTTCCTGCCTCTGGCAGTCGGGACAGGCCTCGCGGAGGGGCCCCGCCGGTGTACCGAACACCTTCTGTCTTCTCGGAAGCCTCAGCCCATCAGTCCTGGCGCACCTCGGCTGCAGCTTCAGCACCTTCCTCCCGGGAGACTCGCTTCCCACAGCACCGGGTGAGTCTGTGGCCCCGGAGCAAAGCACAGGTCAAGGGCACCCACTTCCGGAGTGTGAGCCCTGGGGACGTCAGTGCCTTCCAGCCCTTCCCCCTCCTGCAGGCAGGCCTGTGACGGGTCCCCCGGTCCAGCTGCCTGGTCCCCCCACCTCTCCTTCAGGACGGGAGACTCGGGGACCAGGAGTTCCCGACTTTCTGGTCTTGGGGCCCAGCAATAAGGGCTCCATGCCCCCCGGCCGGACTCTGACCCAGATCCCACCGAGTGTGTGGTCCTGCGGTGCCTCGGCCCGGCCACCTCTCTGGCCCCTCCCGGCCCTGCTCCCCGCCTTCCACCCCTGGCGGCCGCTCCCAGAGCAGCAAGCAGGCTGTGGCCGGCTCGCTCGGGTGTCGCCGCATCTCCTTCTGCTGGGCCCCACCCTCCTCGCTGGAAGGTGAGCCTTTCTGTTTTATCTCCTGTTCACGCCCGCCCGACGAGAGCAGCTCCCGTGCACCAAGGGCCTCCTCCTCCAGGGGAGCTTTGAAAGCTGGCCTAATATAATCCCTACAAAAATCCATGAAAAGGGTTTTCATAGAAAATGGAAGGGGGTGGGAAGGGATAAAATGGGAGTTTGGCATGTGCCGGTAGCCCCGCCCTGTGTGAAACAGACAAGCAGCAAGTACGCGCTGGAGAGCGCACGGAGCTGTACCGAGCGCCTTGCAGTGGCCTCCAACGGAGAAGGGCGTGGAAAGGGACGCGTGTCTACACGTGTGGCCGAGACCTGGCGCTGCGCGCCAGAAACCGGCACAGCACTGCAAACTGGCTAGACTTCAGTAGAAAAAGAAAAAGAAGAATAAAATCCATGAACTTGGCAAGTTTTATCTACGTGTTAAAGTTGCAAATACTGAGGCTCAGAGAGGTTAAGAAACCTCCTCAAGTTTACCCAGCTAGTGATGATGAGCGAGGGGCACAAAAGAACAGCTTAGCATCCTGAAAAGCGCTTGTTATGAAAATATCCATGAATGCAAAAAATGACAAAAAGAGGCTGTGACAGTCACTCGAAATCCCGTCACTAAGAGGCAAGCAGCGTCGAGGCGCTCAGCCTGCTCCAAACAGCTTGCTTTGCAAACGTGCAGAGGGAAGAGGGCTGGAGACAACAGAGGAAGGGTGGGCTGCTGCTTTGCTCAAATAAAATATCAAACTTGGCTTCATTTGGATTTCCACGGGAGGAGCTGCTGAATTTCAGATAAATGTTTTATTACAACCAAAGAGACTGGTTCTTCAAAGAGCTGCATGTTTTCCATAGTCATTTTTTATTTTTTTAATTATTTTTTTGATGTAAGTAGTAGCAATACTTTTAGGTCTGTCTCTGAAGGTAAGAGAAATGAAAGCAAAAATAAACAAACGGAATCTAGTGAAACTTAGAAGTTTATGCGCAGCAACGCAAAGACGACCTGCAGAGCGGGAAAGACATTTGCGAAGGATGTGGCTGGCGAAGCAGTAAGGTGCAAAATCTATAAACAGCCTACACAGTCAGTATGAAGAAGACAAACAGCCCAATCAATAAATGGGCAGAAGACGTGAATAGATATTTCTCCAAAGAGGACTGCTGTTTCCTTCCAGCACTTCAACATTTGTTCTTTTGTCTTCTGGCCTCCGTCCGTGTTTGTCCTTGAGTCTCGGTCACACCTTGCTGCCTCTCTGCGTGTGCGCTGGTTCTGTGTGTTTCCCTCACGTACTGTGAATGACGTGCTGTCGGGACTCAGCATTCTGTTAGGTTCTCTTTAAAATTAGTAATTTTTGCCTGTTTGTTTCATTCAGTGGTTAACTCGACTGGACGCAAACTGCGCTCCGGCCCCCGTGGTGGGTGGCCGGTGCCATCTCTGTGCTGCTGGCCCAGCGGCTGAGACCCCGTCCTGCGCAAACAGGGCTCACAGACCCGCCAGAGGTGTGAGACAGACTTATCACGGGGTATCTGTGGCTCCCTCTATGTGGCTCTCTCTGTTCTGGGATTTCCCTCGTGGTCACCCCAAACTCCATCCTCTGGTTCTTCGCACCTGTAAGACTGTGTTCCATTGAGGCTTAGCCGCCCGGCAGGGCACAGAGCGGCCCTGCCCTCAGACCGCAGGAGCCCGCCCAGCTGTCCCCTTCTCCCCAGCACCCGCCCCCTCCAGTCTCTGTTTCTGGATGCTCTCCAGTGCTGTGGGACGGCTGTCTGTGTCCAGCCACTGTAGTTGCTACCTGTGCAAGGTTTGGTCCAGTAGGAGCCACTTGGCCATGACTGGAGAAGCCTGTGGGCAGCTGGGGCTGGAGGGGCGCAGACCCCACAGCCCGGCCGGGATCGAGCCGGGGCAGGACGGGCGCGGTTTGTCTGGCTCTGGCTCGTCTGGTTTGGGGACCGGTGTCTTCCGAGATTGAAGCGAGAGCCCATAGGTCTTAGCCTCCTGCCCAATACAGCACCAGGATTTTACAAATGTTTTGGACTGAGAGAGTGAAGTCTCTGGTTTTATCACCTCTGCTCCCGCGCCTGCAAAAAGCTCTGCTGAGTCCTCTTCCCCTCGGCTGGTGGGTCCAAGCCTGGTCCTCAGCCGGGGGCCTAGACCGACAAGGGTCTCCAGGGGTCAAGATGGCTGTGAGTCGTCGGCCCATCCTGCCGGTCCTCCCGTCTCCGGGACTTTGGCCCGTTAAGTCCTGTGGCGCCCCAGCTCCGACTCTCTGTAGTAGGGCTTTTTGTAGTGCGCTTGGCCTCTTTCAGTCGCTGTCTTTGGCGCTGATGGCCTTCCGTGTGGGACCCACCCTTTCCTCCTCAGAAGCAGACGTGCAGTAGCAACTCACACATTTGTATCCCTTCCTTCTGGTCTGGGCCTGACCGCTCCGCCTCGGTCCTGCAGTGGAGTGGTTCAGGTTGGAAAGATCAAACGAGGGGCCAGGCAAAAAGGACCTGCTGAAATCTCCTCTGTCCAGCTGGTACGTAAGCAGACAAACCAGCCTTTCAGACGTGAGCACCTCTGCCCAGCAGTGCCAATCCTGGGACTTCATCTCGAGACGAGGATTTAGAATGTGCTCAGAGGGCAAGCTTCCAGGATGCTTCTGGCAGTACTATTTTGAATGTTCAAAGAAAACCCTTGGAACAATAGGTAATTCGTTTGAGAAAAACTTGCATGCAGTATGAAGTCGTGCAGTCATTAAAAATGGTGGCAGACTCAGTGGAAGCACGATCACGGGATCCAGGGCAGCTGTGTGGTCTGAAGACCCTTGTGTGCACGTCGCCGGTGGGGAGGGGTGTCTGGAGGGACCAGAGCACCTGTGCTCACAGCCACTGACTGCGGGTCCAATGGCAATTATTCAGTGTCTTCTGGTGGTCTGTATTTCTGATTTTTAAGACAATGACTGTTTTTTTTGACTCTGTGGTTTTGAGGTATGATTTACAAACTGCAAAATGCATAGACCCGAAGTGTGCAGGTTGATGGGTTTTGACAGATAAATAGAGCCATGTGACCCCCACCCAGGACAAGGCATGTTCCCGCCACTCAGAGTGCCCGTGCCGCGCTCTGGTCTGCAGCGAACTGAGGACCGCGAGGAAATCAGAGAGGCTCTCTGAGGCTGAAGGGAGAGGCGGTGCTTGCAGCCGGGCTCTCAGGGGGCTGTGCCCACACCACGCTCCTCTCTGAGGCCCTGCAGCGGGGGTCGGAGGGGAGGGAAGACGCAGTCCTCTCTCTACTGCAGGTGCCCCACAGGCGGGCCTGGGCGGGGAGGGGCTCTGCAGCAGTGGGGGCAGCCTTGGCCCCGCCCACCCTGGCTACCTTTCATCCAGCTCCCAGGTCAGCTCTGGGTCACCTGGCCAGAGGGACAGAAGGCCATTCATTGTACCAGGAGTGTCATCTGTCCTGCATTAGGAGTGGGAGGCGGGAAGGGCTGCATTCCTACCGGTGAGGGAGCACTGGGCTCAAGGCCTTTCTTTCTGAGCTGCCGGTGGAGTGTCACCCAGCTCCCGGGACCCAGCTGGGGCCGCAGTGGCCTCCGGGTGGCACCTCTAACCAGCCTCGAGGGCAGTGGTGGATGAGGGTGGGGCCTACTCAGGCTGCAGCGCCAGAGAGAAGAGCTCAGTCTGGGGGTGATCGCTGTGCTGGCCCCCGCTACCGACCTCCGGGGTGCGTCACTGTCACTCCCAAAACACCGCAGACCGTGTGACTCAGCACAGCCTGAGGCTGGAAGCCCGAGACCCAGGGGTGGGCATGGTCCTGTGTGGGAAGACTCCTTGGGTGGCAGGCGGCCGCCTTCTCACTGTGTACACAGCAGAGAGAATCTGAGCCTGGTTTCTGCTTCTCTTCTTAAAAGGACACCAGCCCTGTGGAACCTTACGACCTCACAGGCCCTGTAAGTGGAAAAGCATTGATGCCTTATCAGTACACAGAGGATGCTGCGGCCATCAAGTCATCAGGTGCTCCCGCCACCCCCGGCAGCGAGCCGAGGGGGCTCAGAATGCGGACAAGCAGGCAGCCCGGCCTCTGCAGCCCCCAGCCATGCCCCCTCGCCCCCAGGGAGCTCAGGATGTGGAGGAACAGGACACGGGCCCTGGACCGCTAGGTGCACATCAGAGGAATTGTTTCAGTGAGCCCAGACCTTTGCACCTTCTCATACACAGAAAAGCGCTAAATTTCCTAACTTGAAATACCTGGTTTTCTTTAATTAACGGTAATCCTTTGATGTTCTGACTACCTGTCTTTGTGACAAAAACCCCTAAACATCCTGGCCCTCCCGTCCCCCCAGCAGAGCAGTCTCTCGGGGCGGAGGGGGTGGTCTGAGCCGCTGCCTCCCGGCGCCAGTCCTCAGACAGCCCGCTGAGTGAAAGTAACTCGGCTCACAGGCCGTGCACCATTTCAGCTGACAGCCCCACCTCCACGTACAGCCACAGCGGGTGTCTTTCCCACACCAAGCAATTCTCCCACGCCAGCTGTTGTCCCACAGCTCAGCTCAGTTCCGCTACTACCTGGAAGCAGCATCAGACCCTACAGGTTAAGGGCTCAGCCCCACGGGACTGCCTTCTTCCCACTCTCCCAACCCCAGTCGCAAGTCCAAGTTGCCACTTGTGCCTCTGACTGAGTGGCTAGGGCAGAGGTTCCAACGGCCCCCTCTTTGGGTCCCATGGACTTGCTAGAGCGGCTCAAGGAGCTCGCAGAGACAGCTGACTTGCTAAATTACCTGTGTGTTGTAACAGGACAGACTCAGGAACAGCCGAATGGAAGGGACACACGGGACAAGGTGCGGGGAAGGCGCGGGGCGCTTCCAAGCGCCCCGTGCGTGGACCGCTCTCCCCGAATCTCCACGGGCTCACCAGCCCAGAAGCTCTCTGAACCTCGTCCTTTCCGGCTCTGACGGGAGTTTCAGTACGCAGGTGCCGTTAGTTAAATCATTGGCCTTTGATGCCTGACTCAACCCCCAGCCCCTCTCCCCTCCCCAGGGTCTGGGGTAGGGGGACGGAAGTCCCAGCCATGTAACCATGGGGCTGGTTCTCCTGGCCACCAGCCCCCACCCTTAGGTGCTCCCAAAAGTCGCGTCAGTCACAGAACAGAAGACCCCGTGCCCGCTCTCTCCACCTGGGAAACGCCAGGGCTCTGTAGGAGCCTTGTGCCAGCAGTGGGGTGAAGGCTGAACACAGACGTCTTCCTTTTACACGCCTCAGTCTCCCGGGGAGGATCTGAGGAGAACCGCCAGCAGGTGCGCCCCTTCAAGCCCGGAACCAGAACATGGGTCTCACCCAGGGGCGCAGCCCCAGTGTAGCAGCAAGAATGAGCCTGCCTCCACGTTAGATCTGCTCCTTTGGCTCGAACCCCCTGCTCTGCTTCCTGTGCTCAGTCAGACTGGTTTTGCACCTCTTGTGAAAGAATATTGCCTGGAGCCTGAAGTAGACCGGACAGCCCATTCTCAAGGCTCTGACTTCTAAGAGTATAACCCTTTCCATTCATATAAAGACAGCAAGTTGCAGAAGAGAAAGTAACATTTGTTTTGTTGGAGGTTTGCAGGGACACCGTGACCTGACCCACGTGGACAGCTACAAGAACAAAGGGTTCCAAGAACAGAGGATTCAGACACCAAGAAGTTTGCAATAAACAAGCACATCTCCTCCCCCTTTTAGTATAAAAGGAGCCTGATTTCTAACTCAGGGCAGATGGTTCTCTGGGACATGAGTCTCCCATCTTCTCGCTCTGCCAGCTTTCCACATAAAGTCGCTATTCCTTTGCCTCGACACCTCGCCTCCCGATTTACTGGCCTGTCGCGCAGGGAGCAGAACGAGTCTGGACTCGGTAACTCCAGGAAGGGACGCAGCCGCCCAGCTCTAGCCAGCGTGTCAGGCACTGCTGTTGGAGGAGACGGACCAGGCAGGTAAAACAAGCATGAGGCAAAATGAAGCCAACGGGGTAGATCTATTTCAGTAGCTAAAGGAGGAGTATCCTAACAAGAAGCAAACACAAAATGATGAAAGAAAGGACCAGGTGGAAACGTTAGGTTTGATGACCATGACTGTCGAAATAAACCATACGACAGACGAGCAGAGCAGGGGACGGGGCAGTGCGCGCCCGGGCAGGGGCACAGGTGAGAGAGCGTCCGAGAGGCAGCAGGAAACCACGGTGAGACGAGATGGAAAATGTCCCCAGCAGCTGAGGGGCACAGGGGACACAAGCAGAGGTGTGACCCTGGGCCACAGGGGTCCCGGAGAGGAGAGGAGGGGAAGCGCTGGAAAAGTAAGGGAGGGATGTTCTCAGAGTCCGTGTGGGGAGAATTCACGGGCTCAGATGCCAGTGGGAGAGGTGAGGGCAGGCAGGCACGTTTTTGTTTCCAAATATTGGAGACAAAAAGACAATTCTAGAAGTTTCCAAAAAAAGAAGAGGATTTCCCCATCAAAGGGCAAAAATCAGGTTTGTACCTCGTGTCTTAACAGTAAGACTGGCCGTGGGAAGGAGAAATACTCATCTTTACGAGTATTTACGGAGTCGAAGGGAAGTGCGTGAACCTCAGAGTGCGTGTCTGGTCAAACCAGGGGGTGCAGGGGCAAGGGAAACGCCCCGAGGACAGGACGAGGCGTCCCTGGCGTCTGCCCGCAAGGCCCCCAGGGTGAAACTGGGGGAGTACCGGGGCGGAGGACCAAGGAATCTGGGAGGGAGGATGTGGCCCCACAAGGCAGTGTGAAGGAGGGGGGCCAGCGCCCTGGCGCAGATCCCGGGCGTCTGAGAACATTTAGGACCAAAGGAAAAGGAGACGTGTATTCTGATGAAGGAAACGCCCACCCTGTGCTGACCCCCTGTGTTCCTGCTGGTCTGTTTGTTTGTTTGTTTTGGAAACCTTGAAGGAATGTATCCTAGACTTGCTAATCTTCCTTTGCTCTGACAGGACGAAAAACTGCTGGAAACCACGTTTCTCTGGAGCAGGTTCGCAGCGTCATCTGGGAAGTGGGCTTCTGGGCTAGTCCTCAGTTCAGTTCAAATAAAACTCTTTTCTTTTGTTCTTCTTGATTGTTTTTGGGGGAGTTAACTAGGCTTATTTATCTATTTTTAGAGGAGGTACTGGGGATTGAACCCAGGACCCTGTGTGTGCTAATGTGCGCTCTGCCACTTCAGCCACACCCAGTTTCTTGATTGTTCATTGATTATTTTCTTTGACAGTTCACGCTGCTGGGGTGTAAACTACAACGGGCTCCTGAATTGGAATGCACTGAGGACAGAGTTCAGGGCGTCCGTGAACTCAGGCGGGAAAGGTTCTGTCTTTATTTTCACTGACCCCCCACCTCAACCGAGTGCTCACCTGTGAAGGCAGGAGGACCCGAGCTGGCAGCAGGAAGCCCTGCGACCGCTCCATCCCGTCCAGCCACTGCAGGGTCTCAGCAGGACTTTTGTTGATGCTTCAGTTCTCATGGTCATTAGACCGGCTGCTAGAGCTAGGCTCATCTATTATGGTGTAAGAAAGTATTCTTAAAAAAAAATTATTTTAGTAACTGTATTTCAATGTAAGTGGTTTCCTTTGCAGCTTGATGTGTTTTATTTTACACACTTACAAACTGTGTTTGGGGATGGGGATCCACACATGAGGACCCCACTGTCATCGGTGACCATCTGACGTATGTAATAGTGTTTGTAACTGCTTAACTGTGTAATGGTTTAAGGGGTTGTTCTCATGCTCTTTCTGGCTGGGATTAGGGTGGAGAGAAGGGGGCTTGGGTGGCCTGTCTAGCCCCCTTGTGGTACAGGGATCATGCTGAGTGCCCTGCTTTTGCCCCCAGTGCCCTCCTCTTGACTCCTTGTGGTTTCCTTGTATCCTGTTGTTCGAGCTGCAGACCCCAGCCTTCAGCAGGAGATCCCAAGCCTCAACCCAAAAGGCTAAAAGCCTCAACCCAAAAGGCTAAAAGGCTCCCAGGTTTCATTTATCAACTTGACTTTAATCTGCACAGATTTTTCTCTAGAGCACTTTCCCACAGAGCCTCTTCCCACCCACCGTTTGTTCTAGGTACAAGAATATTGAGTCTCAAAGCCAGAGGACTTTGTGCCCAGCAGAGGGAAAGGGACCCCTGCATCTGCAAAACCAGGAACAGCTTTGCAACAATTTGTTACCCTGTATGTGATCTCTATGGAAATTAGCTCTGCCCCTGGAACTCTTGACTTTTACTGTAAAGCCCCCGCCTTCTCTCCCCAGCAGGTCATGGTCTTAGAGGCATTAGCCCACTGTGACCTCCTTTGCCTGCAAAGAAATAAAGCTGCCTTTTCTACTTCATCCAAAAGTCTGTCCTCAAGCCTCAATTTGGTAAGCTGGGTCTGGAGGTCGAGTTTCAGCAATATACAGGCTTCCCCAGAGGTGCCGAGGAGAAGGTTGAGCGCCCTCCCCTCAGGGGGCGAGTGCCTCCATATCCCCGTCTGTAGAACAGGGAAAACAGAGGTCCCGCTGGACAGACTCGCCGGGGGGCTGGGGCTGGGCGCGCACATCCGCCTCCCAGTCAGGGCTCCACACGCGGAGCACTTACCGCTGCTTCCAGGCCACTGGGCTGAGCAGGAAACCACACAATCTTAGGATTAAATAATGGGCACAGCACGTGCCAAGATTCGCAAGGCCAGCTGTGCAGTCCTCGGAAGGGATCTTATGAACACAATAGGTTCCACATTAGCGGAGGGCCGTGCACGGTGCTGCCATTTCAGACGGCAAGCCCGAACAGGCAGATGGGGCGGGAGAGCGCCTGGACGAACGCCGGGGCGGCACAGGGGAGGGAGACCCGGAGAACTGACGAGTCAGTCGGGAGGAGCCGGAAACGGCAGTCAGACCCCCCCATCCCCCTCAGGCCCAGCTGGTCTTACTGGGGATTCTACCACACTTTAAAGGAACAGTTACCTCCTTTCTTAGGCAAAGTGTTTCAGAAAAGAGAAGACAAGAGAACCACAAAAAACATTGCCCAGGAAGCTCTCTGGCCAGCCCCCCCCACCAACCCAGCTTTTCCCGCTGCAGCCCTTAAAAGCAGAAGTCCGGTGTTGTCCCAGAGGAAGCCAGCGGTTTGGGACACACTGACCCCTGGCTCAGGGCAGAGGGGCCTGCTGGTCTCCCTTGTGGTCTCGGGATGTGCTCAGTGTCTGCGTGGGGCCCTGGCAAGGTCAGGTATGGGCCCCAGGTGACCCCAAAGGGATGCAGCAAGGCAGGCTGTGGGAGCCCGGGTCCCACTTTGGGCTCTGCTGGGAAACAGAGGCCGGGGGGGAGGGGTGTGGCAAGTTGGGCGGACGGCAAAGCCCTGGCCAAGGGAGGCTGGAGTCCGAGGTGGGAATCCGGGAGCCCTGGTGCCCCAGGACGTGTGCCCCAGTTTACCTCGTTCTACAGTGCAGAGACCAGCCTTCCTGTTCCCAGGTCGGAGGAGGATTCGGTGTGATGCTGGCTGTGGCCTGAGCAGACGGAGGTGGAGGGGGGTTGAGGGAGGGTCCACGGCTGCCAGGAAAGGGGCAAGGAGGCGAGAGACAGAGGAAAGGTGGACTGGTGGGGGGGCAGCTGGTGGCTGTGGAGGTCCCCGGGATGCTGCAGGTGGGCATGGGCCCGCAGTCTTGGTGGGCTGCCTTGAAGGGGGATCTTTGACCTCAGGGCAGCTCAAGAGCTCCCAGGTTTCAGATTTGGTGAGTGGGGAGGAACCCTGCCCCTCAAGGAGAAGGACTGATGGCCTGGGTACCCTACAGGTGCGGTCACCTGGATGCTCTGTCTGACCCCACGGTTTGGAGGACCCCAGCCGGGATCTGTTGGGGGGCAGGGCTGGGCTTGGGGAAGAAGGGAGGACCCGTTGCCAGTTGGCTGCCAGGACAGGCCCAGGCCTGGGAGAGTGATCTGGACAGCACGTCTCACCCTGCAGCCAGTGATCTGGCTGAGACATGGGTACTGGGGGTGCTGGACAACCCAGGGGCCCTGCCCGAATCCAGGACCCACCTGTGCGGGGTGCTGGAGGTGTGGGCTGCCTTGCCACCACACCCCACTGCAGACCCTCCTGGGGGAGTCCCAACATTGACCGCAGAGGCAGGAAGGGTGGAGCCCCACCCCGCCCTCCATGAGGTGCCCCCTCTTCTGGAGTCCACTGACCCCTCCCTGAAGGGCCTCTGATTAAGCATAAACCAGAAAATAAGATTCCAGAAACCAAACTGATAAAATGGCACATTTTCAAGTTCAGTTTCTTCATTTCCCCTTTCAGGGGCAGGAGGTGAACTCGCCCAGTCCGGCTGATGGTGGGGTCCTGAGCCCCTCATGGGAAGGCCTCCCTCCCTCCGCTTTGGGAGCTGCCTCGGTGGGCCCCCTGGTCTGGCACAGGCAGGGTGACCACACAACTGACCCTCCAAACCAGGACACTTTTGAGAGAGAAACTTGGCATCCAGTGACGGCGCCAAGGACCACAGGGAGGACGGGCATCTCTGGCCGCCCTCCGCGGAGCAACCCAGGCTCTGCTGTGGGCAAAGGGCGCCTGTGAGTGTAGCAGCCTGTGGTCGCCTTCGCAGACTTCAACGCAGCTCACAGGCTACCCGTCCACATGGCGCTGGCCGGAGCGGCTGGGGTCCACGAGCGGGCGTGCAGGGAGAAAGCGGGAGACGCGTGGGATCGTTAGAACCTGGGTTTCCAGGTCACCCAGCACCCCTTCTGCCGTCGCCCCGCCGGCCCAGGGCTGGGGGGGGGCGTGGGCTCTCCCTCCGGACAAGGTGCTGGGAGGACATGTGGGATGAGAGACACTGCGGGGCCGCTCTTGGCAAGCGCATCTTCCCCTGAGGGATGCAGGACGGCTCTGCGTCTCCCCAACAGCGCCCCGCGATGCAGCTGGGTCTCAGCAGTGCCTGCCTACGTGCGTCGAGATGGTTCCCCCTGAACGTGGATTTGCGGCTGCACCTCCCTGAATCCAGCCATTTCTGGAGCTGTGTGTGCGTGCCTTTTTTTATTTTTAAACTAATAGACTTTATTTTTTTAGAGCAGTTTCAGATTCACAGCAGAATTGAGCAGAAAACACAGAGAGTTCACACACACACTTCCCTCGTCCTCAGCCTCACTCCTCAGTGCTGCGCGCCGCCTCGCTTGAGGGCTTTGCTGTCGGCCGGGTCCCTCTCCGTCCTCGGTGGGCTGCCCCGACGTGGTCTCGGCTTCCCTCTGACTTGTTAGCCTGCTCGGCAGCCACAGAGCAGCAGAGACCGGCTGGAGCCTGAGGTCAGGGGTTTCTGCTGGGGCCTCGCTCCCTCCTGCAGCCCCTCGTGTCTTCCTCTCCTTGTGAGGCCGCTGTCCTGTTGGCTTAGGGTCCAGCCTCTAGGCCCTCGTTTGACCTGTACTACCTCCTAAAGACGCTGGCTCTGAGTGGAGTCCCAGTGGGGGATGGGGCTCCAACATGTGGACTTGGGGACACAATTCAACCCAGGACACCCCTTACTGCCTGACTGCGCCGTCTCCTCTCCTGACTCTGAATGTCCCAGTGCCCAGGGCGGGGTCCTGGGCCGCTTCTCCTTTCTGTCCCTCTGCACACCCTCCCTGGTGTCACATCCTGCCCGTCTGCAAATGCTGCCTGCATGCTGCTGGCCCCAGGGGCCCCGTCCACCCTGGATCCCTCTCCTGAGCTCTCAACACAGCCATCCGCTCACCCGTGCGGGTCTGGGAGGAAGCACAGCCAGACGAGCCAGAATCGATCCCGTGCCCGTCCCTCCTGCGATCCCAGCCCCCAGCCCACGTCTGTGGCCTCTACTGTTGTCTCCAGGTGTGCCTTTTGGAGCAGCAGCCGGGGGGGCTGCACCTCTGTGCTCGCGCCTTCCTAGCCTCCTTGGACTCCACCGCCTTGTCTCCCTGCTGCGTCTTGGGGCCCTCCTCCTGCTTGTCTTCAGGCTCACCGTTCCCTCTTCCGCGGCACCAGACCTGCTGTTAACCAGTCAACCAAGTTTTACGATCCAATGGCAATGTGGATTTTAAACATCTATGAAAGTCTTGAAAAAAATCTGAGAATATGAGAACGAATGTATATATGCATGGCTGGGAGGTTGTGCGCGCATCAGAATGGACACGTTGTTCCTGACTATACTTCAATTTAAAAAGTCTGATGCTTTTTGCTAGTCTCATGTACCTGGCTCATGTTTTAAATTTCCTTTATCTTTTTATGCTTAAAATTTTAAAATAAATTCAAAAAACTTTTATTTAAAAAATTAAAAAAATTGGAGTATAGTTGATTTACAATGTTGGGTTAGCTTCTGGTGTGCAGCATAGGATTCATATTATTTTTTATTATAGGCCATTGTAAGATATTGAATACAGTTCCCTGAGATGTATAGTAGACACTTGTTTATCTATTTTATATCTAGTAGTTAGTATCTGCAAATCCTGAACTCCCAATTTTTCCCTCCCCACCCCATTCTCCCTTGGTAACCATATGTTTGTTTTCTATGTCTGTAAGCCTGTCTCTGTTTTGTAAATAAGTTCATTTGTATCTTTTTTTTTAAGATTCTACATAGAAGTGACAACATATGGTATTTTTCTTTCTCTTTCTGGCTTACTTCACTCAGAATGACCATCTCCAGGTCCATCCCTGTTGCTGCAAATGGCATAATTTTATCCTTTTTAAGGCTGAGTACTATTCCATTGTATAAATATACCACAGCTTCTTTATCCAGTCATCTGTCGGTAGACGTAATTATGTAAGTTTTGATTTTATCAAATTTATACACCTACATAGATTAAAGAGTCAGTGGGGTTCTACACAGCTGTTTTTTTTAAAGTTTTAGCTTCTACCAACTTTATACATATATATAGTATAAGAAGTCAACATCATTTATAAGTATTTTATTTCCTTATTATTATTATTATTATTTGCCAAAACAACACTCCGTTACCACTGTAGCCTTTGTTCCTGGCTCACAGGTCCTGAGCACAATGAGGCACTGAAACGTTCGAACACCCTGGACTGGGAGGAGGGTGAGGGAGACGTGGATAGAACCTGGGCCTCCCCACCCTCCAGTCCACCAGGACGGCAGAACCAAACGTGCACTGACGCCATCTGCAAAAAGCCAGATGCAGCGCGTCCCTCTGTGGGTGGCAGGAAGCCCCCGCCACAGCTTGGAGGCTTGTGACCTCTGAGCAGGAGGAAGCCGAGGGAGGCAGCCGGGCATCTGGTGTGGGCCTGAGGACACCAAAACCTGGAGAGAACATCCTCAAGTGCTCAGGAGCCCAGGAGGGGCTGGCCCGGCAGTGGGGCGAGTTTGAGGCCCAGCCAAGTCAGGCCGGCCCAGGGGCTCTCAGAG